AAACATATAGTCTTTGGTTCTCTATGCCTAATCTGTAAGGGGCTCACTTGCATGGCTAGGCCCTTGTATCAAGGAAGAGGAGATCTTCTATATGTCTATATTCTTAACTGCAGTAGATTTAAAGTCTTCAATTTTGGTTATTATTCTTCGTGTGATTTATATTGACACTCAATAAAAATTTATTTCAATAATATAATATATATATTTAACAGCTTTGAATAAAACCCCTATAAGAGCAAAGGTAGAATATTTTATTCTATAAATTACATTCATTGCTTATGAAAAATTTACAAAGAAAAACTAAATAAACAGCTAATGAGATAAAATGGACTCATAAAGAAAATTGCGAACCTAAATTATGTTGATGTAATTAGAAAAAAAATTAAGGCGTTAAGCCCGAAGTTGTCGCAATACAAATGAATTACAATAATACATGTTAATTTACTTAAATATAACAATTTCTTATGGTAAAGCAATGTAATAAATAAAATATGAGTAAAATTTTATCAGAGGGTGATTTTGTACAAATTTCATCGGCGTAGGAACTGTCGCTTGATGGTCGGTGTTTTTGCAGTAAAGCAGCTGCGCTTGCATGTTTATGTTTGAAGGATGCCATATGGCAGTGAAATTACAGGATACGTTGGTATACCAGTCTTCTGAAATAGCAATCCATGCGTCGCGGAGTATTCTGAGATGCCAATCGTGTTGTTTACTTTCCATCGGGTGGACCATCAGCTTTTTAGCTGTTCTAAGTTGCACAATATAAAATAATACAATTTTTGTATATAATATAATATTTCATTATGTTTCGATTCACTAGATTGTATAAGATCACTATTTATCACACATATCTCTAATACTACAACGTAATACGTTGTATCTGCTAGTATTTAGTATAGAAGATAACTTGATTTTATTGAATTTTAATAAGATTTTATTCTATTTTATACAAAGCGGTGATAGTTTAAGTAAATAATGCTTTCCAGAAATCTCTAGATCGAATCTCAGTCCAAAACTCAAAATTTTCAAGTACATATTCCAATAATTTAAAAATACTTGTTAGTTGCTTAGTGCTTCCGATTGCACCCCAGAACCATCATCCAATCATCTTGACCCCAAAAAGGACAAATTCATATGAGTAGTAGTATATAATAATATGTCCTCTAAGATTATCGTCTATAAATACATTTTATATACGTACTCAATTCATTTTACCTAAATTGAATATTACCTAGATACATAATATTCCTCCTAATCTGATAATTCTAAATAAAACAATGTTAGAGTTACGTCAAATTAACAGTTTTAGTATAACTATACCTGGTTAAAGTTGCCAAAACTATAACTAACTAACAAATATTTAATGATTATATTTAGTACGCTACATACTTAAAAATAGAATTAGAAAAATCTTTTTATAATCTGTATATATGTATACGTGAATTCGCGAACAGGGTAATTTATTACCTTATTTATATTAAGCACCTAGGTATATCCCTTCCGTCTCTTGTGGATAACACATGATTTATCTTTAGATATTCCGTGTTATATTATTTCTGTAAAAAGAAAGTTACTATTTTTAAATTTAATACGTATTTATTATTACTAGTGACTAATATACATGTATAGCATATATTTATAGTTTTACACAAGTCATTTGAAGCGAAGTTGTATAATACATATACGCTTAGAATACGTTCTACGTGTTGTGGTAAATAAAGAAATAAAATGCCCCATTAGTAGACATTATTGTATTTCTGATAGTGCATTTTAGTGTTAATTATTTGAGAAGCAAAAGAAGTACAAATTTATTGCTTGTTACAGTTTCTTCAAATATTGCTTCCTACTAACTAGGATCAATCATCTATAATTGTCTAATTTTAAATGTTATGAACTTAATAGGAAAATAATCCAATTAGGGATTTTAAGGAAAAAAAAGTTTTGACTTTGCACACGTTTATTCAGGTAAGCTAATTAGTTATAAATACATACTATGAATAGAATACAATTTCTATGTAATCCAATAATTTAAATAACGACACCTGTCGTTATACCTATATAGTTACGAGTCTATAATTTAAATAATCTAGTTGTCTTTTAGGGAAGTTATTTTATTATTATAAATATTATTACTAGATTTCTATATCTATCCATCTGTTTATGGGGAGGAGGTGGAGGGATTACATACCCAACCAAGTTGAGCTCCTCACCCCCCTTTTCCCTGGAAACCAATTCTTGATGAGTTGGTCGTGATGGGCTAATAACTGACCTGTTTTTATTCTCATCTATGATCAATCTGTTATAACGTAACGCCTACGTGTACTTTTGCACAAAATAGCTATCTATAATTTGTCTATAAAAAAATTGTCGTGTGGTCCCGACATAGCATAGGCCACCCCTTCCTTTCTCGTGGATGTCGTTAGAGGCGACCAAGGGAGGGCATGGGATGGGCGCAGTCCTCTTAAAATATCTCTAAAGCCTAACTGTGGTTGCCAATCCGCCAGCTAAACGTAGCAACTACTGGCAAAACCCTCCAAGAGGAAGGCTAATGTTCAGCAGTGGACAGTTAAAGGTTGATATGACGATGATGATCCATCTATAGTTATTAATAACCAATAGGATAGGAGATATGAAATATACTAAGATATGCCTTAGCATGTTTATATTTTAATATATTCCGAATTAAATTTATGGAATCAAGTAGGATTACAACACCCAATTTAACTTTTATTTGTATTTGATTATAACGAAAAGAGTAAGTAATTATCTCTAAGTCTAAAATTAATTTTCATTGTAGCTCGAGGCGATACGTAGCTCGGTACTTATCGACGATAACGTTAGAGTGGCATAAATTCTAGCAGTTTATGGACTGTATTATATCAGTTACTAGAACTGCTGAAGGAAATATAATGAGTAATATGTATTTTTTTGCCATAGGATTGTTTCGATTGTATCCCACGGTCGCTTTCGTTATCGTTAACACGGTATAGGTTTTTCCTATAGTAACTTATCCAAATTACCATGTAATTAATATACTTATATAGGGTAAAATCGAAATTAGCATTTTTCGAAAAGAGTACTCTACCAGCGAATCTGATCGCTTTTCCTAAAAAAAAAACGTATCAAAAACTATAAAAAATTTCGTGTGTTTCATATTATCATAGCGAGTACAGCTGTCAAATTAGTATGGAGCCTCAAAAAATTTTTGAGCTGTGCTTTGTTTTGCTAAACATGTTCCCATTCGCTCTGATAAAGCTTCCTTAAAATTATGCTTTTTTATTCTGTATATTAATAGTGTCCGCAGAGTGTACCTCGATAGCGCAGGAGGCGTTACCATTCAATATTATCCTTTAAAAAAAGATTCATTGATACTGTAATATGGCCCTTAAGATTATTGCAATCAAAGTTATTATCTATAAAGTTATCGCCGTCTACTTAGCAGTAGGTGAATAATGGTTTCTATCTTTGACGGAAGTTATTGTAACTTTCTTATTGAGGTCGAATGTTCGATTAGTTTTTGTTGTTTTGTGCTATGCTTAACACGTACTTGTTAACATAGTTAATATATGAAACTGAAAATATAGTAGAGGTCTCTTAAGACCACCAACTAGTTCGTAGAATCAAGGCGTAATATTGATTTATAACCACCTTACCATAAATAAAAATACGTGCCAAGGATGTGATGGATTGCCGTTTCGTCACATTTGCTCTCAAGTTTCAATAAAATAACCTCTGATATATATTGGTATTTTCTAAGAGCACTTTATACTTCTAGTCGCTCTTACACTAGATATCTACAGTATACGGGTACTAAGATTTGTTATACGCTAAGCAATAAGATAGAGCCTTAACATTTTTCAGCCTCAACGTGACTGGAAAGGAGAACAACACGCGTGTAACGTGACCTAAACTGAGTTGGTCGTAGGGCAGTTATGTCGTAGTTATACAGCTACTAAAATAAAGTAAGTACCCAAATAAATGTCTTGGGTAATCTACGGAATATGAACGTCTTGACTATTTACCAAAATTAGTATAGTATTGTAATATCTGTGCATAGCAAGTATATCTACATTATATGATTAAGCTGTATTTTTTCAGCTAACACGGCAATTAGTAATTTGTATTTTGAAGAATATTTCTTTTTTTTTTTCTATTTATGTTTATCAATGAAAATTTTGACAATAAATTATTTTAACCCCTCGTAATAATCCTGTTAACTTTGTATGAAAGATTATTTTTTGGTTTAAGTATGACATTAACTTTCCTCTACAAACAGTCATCTAATTTCATAAAAAAATACTAGTATATAGTGGTGATAATAACTATAAATTTTCTTTCACAAATCGCTAATATATATATATATATATATATATATATATATATATATATATATATATATATATATATATATATATATATATATATATATATATATATATATATATATATATATATATATATATATATATATAATTTAGATCTAATATGAGAGTGAAACTGTGGAATGTATTGCACTCATAAAAAATACATTTAAATTGTTTATCTTTTTTCGAATCGCATTCAAACATTTTTTTTTGAATAGTTATTTATTCAAACGTAATATAAATGTTATTAAAATTAATATTCAATTTTAATAACAATACTGCAAATAATTATTACACTGTCCCTTTGCCAACCCCATATAGACGGTTATTTTGTTTATTTACTCGAGGAAGGCTAATACATATTTATTCATAAGAAGCTGAGTAGATATTCCTAGAAGCTCGCTTAACACCTCGTATTACCAAATATTCGTTCATATAGTGATGGGAAAGATATTTACAATAGCACAGTACATGAAAAGAAAGTTAAAATAAAACTTAAATTTATAAATTTATAACTATCTATAACAGTATTTTATCTACTTATAAATTGGTTTCAAATTTTGTTTGTATTTGAAAAACCTATAAGTTATATACTTGTACATTTTATTGCTAAAATTTTATGAATTTGTATATTACCTATTTGGTTTTGACGTTGTCCCTTGCAACCTGCAACAATTCAAGTAGTTCATCAGGCGAGTCTTCAGCTTGTTTACCATTTTAAGTAAGTAATATAAAAAAATCTATACACCAAATTTTACCATTAAAATTTATTAAACTGTTTGGCCGTGATTGAGTAAGAACATATAAGTATAAAACATCAGAATCATCAACATATATAATATATAGCTATAATATAAAAAGCAAAAGAGTTTACTTGAACGCGCTAACCTGTTTAACTACCAGTTAGATTTGAAAAGATCTTTTTGCATTTGAATGCTTATTTCTTGAGCAAGTTTATAGGCTATTTAACATAGGCAAAGCTGCGAGATATAGCCAATTTATAATATTAATGGGATAATAAGACTAAAACAAGTATATCTAATATGCCACAACACTAAAACTAGATTTGTATTTGGGTAAATTTTATGATGTAGGTACTATGTTATTCAGGATTGTAATCCCTTAGGGCTCCGGGGTGAATTCAAATTATTTACGCTTATAGACGTGCGTGATGAGCAAATCTGTCATTTCTCGCTGCTTTGAAACTATGCTATAACCGGTTTGTAAATATTTAAACCTGTACTATATAAAACACAAATCCAAAATATTTACAAAAATGTAGTAATAATGGGTAGAATATTAACTTACATAATAAATTAAAATAAAATAGGTACTAAGTTATAATAAAACAATTACAAAAATATTAGTATTTAAGTTCGAATAATAAACAAACTGTGCAAGTTTTTTGCATTTTGCAATATTCTTAAGATTGGTGCAAATATAGCCATGCAACTACTGTTGCTTGGTGATAGAAATACAAGTGTACGGAGATATATGTCTACCTATATCTATGTAGACGTCTACTATAAGTTTCCCTCTGGCAGAAAAACTTGAATGTTTTCTACATACTGGAATAAAGAATGATATGATGGGATGGTGAAAAATGTTACATAAGAACGATAATTACTATATTAGGTGTGTGAGACTAAATAAAAACTTTTATAATCTTGAAAAATCTAAAGTTGCATTTAAGATATTTACTCATTAGACTTAATAATAATTAATTGAAGAAAGTACCATTTGTTTGGAATGGGAAAATTTCAGTAAGAATGTTATGCTAACATTTCTAAATAAGCAAAATTCGAATAAAATACAATGAGTATCTTATTGTCATTTCAAAGTATATTCTGTGACAAGTACCTTCATTTTTTAACTCCAGTAAATTACAAATATGCACACCTATAATTTATATACTTATGTACTACTTATATACTGATTGAATAGATACAAACAATATTCACAAATACAATTTATAATAGACAACGTACACATGATGCCCCAGGCGTCCATAAACTACATTAACCGCTTATTGTTACACGGAATATATAATTATTTTCAAAGATTGCTGCACTAAATCATATTTATCATATTAATATAATAAAATTGTATACGAAATTTACACTTGGGAAATATTTAAAAAAACATGAACGGACTTGACACGACCAATAGATGTAAGATACAATTTTTTTTTAATTTTGTGCTAACTGTATATTTATTTTGGCATAAAGCTAAAACTACTGCATGAAATTAAATACAATTTAAAAACAGTTTAAGCGTAAGTAATAAATATTTAAACATCCAAACAAACAAATCACATAAGTAGGTATATTCATATAGTAGGTAGGATACATATAAACAGAATCAGATTGAAATGAAAGATTTATAGAGCTATTAAATTTGGGAATATTTAACATTATGGTTGGAGGATTGATATGACCGTAATAAAAGTCATAATTTCTCCGAATATTTTATTGTTATTTAAGGTTTTAGTATTCTAGTAGCTAATTATAGAAATATATCTATACACGCAAAAGTCATTCTAATACAGGTTAAAAGCCATTCACCTCGAATGATTTAAATATGCAGACGACCGTATTGATTGTCTCCAAGAATAAACCCCTTATGATACTCTGGGTCGACCGCTCGGTCGCCGCCGCCACCGCCACCGCACTGTGCAGCCAGCCCTTTTTAGATATTTTTATTATATTCTTTAAATGTAACCTATTTCATTATATGAAGAAATTTAATATTTATTTACTTCATATGCACGTAAAAATTTACAGGGTTGAAAAAAAATTGATCTTTCTGGAATTACCTTATCACTTTTTTTTATATCTGTAATTAGATTACGTATCGATTGGAGCTCTTTCAGTACAGGATTTTAGACGGTATTAGTACGGTTCACCAAACGACGGCTTTACGTATCCGGAGCACAAAGTAAGTGACAATTATTTAAAAAATATGATTAATATAAATGATTAAAATCTTTGAATATACTCCTAGTTTTAATAATTTTTTAATAGTATATATTTTCTTTAAGTAAGATGCAATCGAAAGAAGCACTTTCTTTACGATAATCTCTCTTAAATTATACTTTGCCATTTCAAAAGCAAATAGTCACATGTGTAAGAATAGCTCATATTATTGTGTAATAAAATAGGTTATTGGTTAAGCTATTTATAAACGAATAAGTATGATGATTAATTAATCAATCACTAGAAACACGACATATTTTGTTGGGAAGCCATGTCTCTGTGGACCTTAGAATTCATAAATAAACCTGTTCAAGTGTAATAAAATGGGTCCATTAATAGAACATTGATTTGTTAACACAATACTTACCTACAAAATTACATTCAATATTATGTTAACTACTTTCTATTACTTGACAATACAAATTGTCCTAGATAAAGTAATTTATTTTCAATACAAAAGTTATCGAATAGCGGAACAATAGGTCGATACAAATGATTTAGTATGATACGTATCTTGTAACAACGTTCATTTGTACAGTCACAGGCAATAATATATGAACATTTTCGTATAATTAAATTGTTATATTTACCATATATATTTAGATATTAGAACAATATTTATAATATGACAATAAAGTTTATTTTATCTCTACAAATTACGGAATATTTAATAAAATTACAAAAAGTATTGTAACTTGTGGGAAATCTGAAGGCCAAATTAAACATAACCTGTATCTTAGAAATAAGGTCTCCCTCATATTAATCGATATTAAAAGTTACAGGCACGCATAGTAAACCATTACATAATAATAAGACAACATAAACGTGAAATTGTTTTGTAAGTAATGTTTTCTAATGTATTCTATCCTATAACGAATACAAATTAATTTTAAAATTATCTTTAAAATTGTAATTCCATTTTTTAAACAGGTGTCGTAAATATGCGTGGACGAAATGGCGCTTGGAGATTGATATAAAAGGTTATAAAACATCTGGTAATAATAACAGAAGTCAATTTTTTAGTAAAACTAATGGTAGCGAAATTAATCAAAATAATTCAAATCAATTAACCAATTAATATTGTTTAGTGGTAATTTGTTGAAATATGAGTATAATTATTCAAGATGTCGGAAGAAATCAAATTTGCTGAGAGTTTTTCGATGAAGAAAATGCTGAAATATAAAAAAAATAATCTATGATGAAATCGTTCCTCTTTATTAGGATTACAAAATGTTAATTTTGATATTCTATATTATACAGAGAGCTTTTTATAAACATTTTAATGTTTAAATAATTAATACAAATTATGTGGAATTTGGGAAGCTGTTTAGATGGATACAATAGATATATTATTAATAACTCCACATTGACACCACATTGTGTTTATATTGCATCCGTGCGAAGTCGGGGCGGGTCGCTTGATATTAATATCATGATATAATATATAAACATCATGTCCATATAATTATATAAATATATAATAATAATAATAATAATAATAATAATTTATTTCATGAGAAAACTCTGCTCCCTAAATAGGTAAATCTCCATGATATGGCACAATGACACAAAATCCATTTATCTGATTTATCTGAAAGATTTGACTGTGTAATTTGTGAATGTATGGAATGGATTTTTTTAAAATGGCAGTCATAACCTAACATACTACTAATAACAAATCCTCAGTTTCATCATATATATATATATATATATATATATATATATATATATATATATATATATATATATATATATATATATATATATATATATATATTAATGGGTGATAATGGTATGGTAACCCCGTCTGCGCTATCGGCATACAATGGTGGGGCACCAGTGATAGATGACTAATGAGGATGAAAGCAGGTCAGTTAGCCCATCCTGATAAATTCAACTAGAATTAGCCACGATGGTTTCCAGGGGGAACTACGTGGAGATCGACCTGACAGGGTATATTGCTAGTAATGGGGCTATTTGACCCCATTACTAACAATCCCTTTCTCCCCAATTTTTTTGTTTATATTGTACCTATATAAAAAAAAATAGTTAACTAATTTTCTGATTTTTTTTTATTAAGTCATACAACAAATAGGCAATTTTCTACCAGGTCAGCTGTCAAATTATTTTCCATTTGTGTAAAAACAAAAGTTATGTAAAAAAAAGATCATAAAAATCTCACAACCTAGTTAGTATTAACTGAAACCCACTTCCATTATAGATGTTTATCAATTGACATGTCAAAGGATATTTTTAGATGATATCACAATAATAAATATCATGGACACGACAAACCAACCACCATTGTCCGTACAATAGCACTATAACTGCAGTAAAAATATTAACGTTGGAATTTTTCAATGAAAAATGTGTACGACTTGATATTAAAAATTCACAGTTGCACAATGAAGTAGCGCCATATAACTTTATTATTATCCTTACTAATATTCTATGAAAGTTTTTGTTTCTGTGTTCTTTTGTTTGTTTGTTATCTTCTGGCGTTTTAATAGCTCGTCAAGAAAGGTATACAGGGATGTAAACTACAAATTATTTTGATTAATCAACATTTCCCGGTCTCGTGTACAAAATCTAAATCAATTTAACAATTAACAAAACTAGTTATTTATATGTAGTACAGACATAATTGTGACAACGTTAATATGGGATCAAATGAAATGAGTAGGTAAGTAA